TGAAGTTTACAACAGAAAGTTATATTATTTAGATTACAGTAAAGCACACAAAGATGTTGCTGCGGAGAACTTTCTAAGGGAAATTAACTCATATTCACATCCCATGTGGGGAAAGTAATGAAAAGGACCAGCTTGTCGGGTCGTTTGCCAAGATTTGATCCTGGGTAATGTTACATATATAAAGCATTTTATCCTTTGTTATGGGTATATAAGGTATAATCCCCTAATAAAGTATTTTCTCTCTCCTTTCTGCATGCCTTTGTGGTGAAACAGTAGGACACACATTAGAATGGTCCAAGTTCGAGTCTCGGCGAGGGCATTGAATATTTTTCATGTCTCCTACTTCAAAATAGCCTAATGACTCTGCAGGGATCTTACCACACAGCCACAAGTGGGTGTTTGAACACAAAAAAATGGCTTTGTATTTCATCCAATATCAGCCTGCATAATTGAGTGAACTCGAACTTGCAGAAGTGATATTAACTACAAAATAGGCTTTCAAATGTATATTTTCAATAAACAGTAAAAATATATTATTTTTTCCAAGTGGATGCATTTGAACGAACTACTTTCCATAACTTACATGAGGGGAAAAAAAAGCACAATAGCATAATAACTGTCTGAAGATGATAGTTGCTGGCAGAAAAATGATTTTGGGCAGCAGAAACATTTTTTTACAAGCTTATGCAGGAAATATTTCAGATAAAAATAAACAAGTGTATATTTGCTAAGCAAGTGTTAGAGATAAATGGTAATTTAATTAAATGGGACAAAGTATTCAAGGGGTAGGATGCATTCTTGAAGGACTTTCTAAAGCAAATTAATTGGTTTGTACTTAAGTTACCCATAAGAAAAATCACAAAGATATCCAAACTGTTTGCCGGAAGTCAATCTGAATTGAACTACCACTACTCAAAAGACTTCTTATCTAATCAGCTCCTGTTGAGCAAAAATTTAACAGTTTTTCAGTTGTATTACAATTCTAACGGCCATGGTATTATAATTGCAATCGTAGCTGCATTAATTGTAGTTTTAATTACAGAGTACAGATAATGAAAAACCAGCTTTACTCATCAATAAAAAATAGCTTAAATTTAAAGATAAATGAAAGGTCTTATAATTTGCTGAACAACAATATTCTGAAAGAGACATACATGGGAGATAGCAGAAGCTTGTTCAACATTTTATATTTTGTGCACTGATAGCACTTGCCAAAGGCTGCTCCTAGATCACTTCTATTCATCTTGTGCTTTAACTTCTAAGGCCATGATCATGTCTACAGATTTTGATTCTTGAGGAGAGTATTTTACACCATAGATCAAAATAATGTGCAATAAACAGCGAGTACTGAAAAATTTAATTGAAATTACATTTTAAGTCTAGTTAATATACATACAGTATAACTGTTATATTGTAGTTGTAATGTAATTGCGATTATAAATTCTGCAATTACAATTAATTCAATTATGAATTATATTGTAATTGAATTAACTGCAATTATGATTAAGCAACAGAGAAATAAACTTATGTGTGACACTGTTAAAACTATAGCCAATTTAAAAAATGAAAGAAACCTAAAGTGTAATACAAAAATACAAATACTCACAGAATACAAAAATGCAAACTTCGATGTAAGGGTTTCAAAGTAAAAAATGAGAATATTCATTACTAACTTCAAATTTAAAGTTCCTCTGCTACTGTTAATTTGTGCCTTTTGCCATAGAAAATTCTGCTGTTGACAAAATTTATGTATACAAATACTGTTTAACTGTATGCCCCATTTTTTTCCGACAAATTTAGAAAACAAGCATACAAAATGATTTCATTCAAATAGAAGTAAGCTGCTTTAAAAAGAAAGCAGAAATTTTGAAGTAATTTGGTTCATTCCAAAAGAAATTTCTACACTACTTTTGCATTACCAAGAATATACAATTTATAACTGTCAGCTTTTACAGCTATGAATAAGAGAAACTCCGCTGTCGCGTAAAAAATTTCCACAAATGGTGGAGCATGTGAGCTTTTTCCGCTTTCAGCCCTAAAGGTGCAGAAATAGCTTATAGAAGAATTCTGAAAAGTCTATAATCCTTTCATGTGTATTCATATCCTGATATTAAAAATGATAATTTTCCATTTAAATCTGAGCACACAAAGTAAAAATAATAAAAGAAGTATTATGTGTACAGTAAAGCAAGTTATCTCAGTATATGAAGGAAATTTTGTAACAGTAATGGTGAAATTGTTTCCCACAATTCAAAGACTTTGATATTGTCACTTATGCATATCAAAGATTAACTGATTTCTCCCAGAAAATTTTCTCGGAAAGCAAATCATCATTTACATGTAGGAAGGTATTTTAAGAATTATGAGATAAATTTACAGTGGGAATAAAAGAACAACAGAAATGAAAATCGCTTTCTAGTAATTATTTCACTCATTGAAAGGGTGCTTCAGTTTCATCTTTTCAAAAAAATGACAGATGGTTTTAGAAATAGAATCTCCAAATCATGAATAGCTAACCAATATTTTGTATTTGTAAATATTTATTTAATTTGCATTTCAATCAAATGTTGAAAACAAAGCAGAAAAAGGTTGAATTCTGGCTTTTTCATTTGTTGCATAGTATTTTCATTATCTTTAGGTTGTAAATATGAGACAGTTTGCCAGATAAAATCTTCTACAAAGGCATCCCTTTCCCAAGGAAGAGAGTCATGTGCTATCTGCCCGATGAATATGCAAGTATTTTTCTCGTCTTTTCCATATTCATAATCACATATTACTTTATTAGATATTTTTAATTTACAAAACTATAATTTATGGAAAGCCCAGTTACATGCTTATTACAATTAATTTATTTATACAAATACCAGAAATTTGGCCACTGAGCCATTAGTCTTGATTTTACTTTTAAATACTTAAGAACAATAGAATTAAAAGATAATAGTGCAGTGCATTGGTCAATATGCTCCTTATTCATGGACTGTCGAGAGTTACAAAGAGTACAGACTGAAAGAGTCCTTCAGTCGAATTTTAAAAAGATGGGCATTCAAACAATTGTGCCCAGTCTAAAGACAAAATAATACCACGGCTACAAAACAAGGAAAATCTGGAATAACTGGCTTTGAACTAATCAGACACTCCCAGGCCTTTACTTTAGCTTCATTTGATATGTAGAATGCAAACCTCCTCTTAAATTCTAATTTAATGACGAGTTTTTCAGAATTAAATGTCATATGGCTTATTAGTAGTAAATTAAAAGTCATATGCTTATTATTACAATTAATGAAAAGTAAAAATTAGATGCACAATTATCATCATTTTCTACTGCCAATATGATTAAAAATCAGTTGCATTCATTTCTAGCATGCTATAGAATGAATGAGATAATGTCTCAAAAGTATGATCATATTTTCACAAACTGATGTACAGTGTAATATTATTGTGTTAAATCTCAATTTGTTACCTTTCATAGCAATCTCTGCAGGTTTTAAATTCCGCTGCCTAATGTTCCCTAGATTCTAAAAATTTTCACATTCCTAAATTTTGTTGCTCAGTGCTTTTCTAAATTCTAAAAATTTTCCCAGCTTTTAATTCTGCTGCCCGGAGCTTTACTTTTAAATTTAAAAGATTTTACCATCTCTCAAGTTTGTTGCTCTGTGCTTTTCTAAATAAATAAATAAGTTTTTGCCGTCTCTAAATTTTCTTGATCGGTGCTTCTAAAAATTTTGCTTACCTTAATATCTGCTGCCCAGCTAAGACTGTTGAGAAAGCACATAAAAATATTATCCATAGAAGGCACTGAAAATTATGTATTTTAATAAAAAGATGCCCACTTTGTATCAAATAAATTTCATCAGTTAAAAGTGCTATGAAAGTTAACATATTTGTAATAAACATGATAATTCTTCAGAAGTAATTTTTTTTTTTTTTTTTTTTCCCTCTCCTGAAGAAATAACTGTTTCCAGGTTTGCCACACAAACAGGAGAATAAAACAAGAAAACTCCAGGCCATCTGTGTAGTGTGTTTGTCTGTGCTGAGGGTAAAATAATTATGGTACCACTTGAAAACACAAAACTTTTTCAATTACATATGACTTTATGTATATATTATTCAATAATGTTTTATAATTTCACTTATGTTTTCAATTCTTTGGATTATGTGCTTTTTATTTAAAGGTAAAAAATTTTAATTAGAATTTACTTCCTTTTTTCCTTGCTTTCGGGAGGGGTCAGAATTTTCGGGTGAACTATTATAATTAAAATACATTCAAATGGTTCATCGGCTAATTCTGGATACAGAAAAGCAAGGACTTGGAAGAGAGGTTTCAATTGATTTCAGTGTTCCTCCTCCTGATGCAGTAGCACTGAAGTTGATTGAATTTCTCTTCTATTATGTTCTTTTTCTTTAAATTTCATTGATTTTTTTAAATTATGGTATTGATTGTTTGAAGTGTTTTGGTTTCAACATTTATTAAATTCTTTTTTTGCATTTATAGGATTATTTGAAATTTATTATCTATAAATTTCAATTTTTGATCTTTGTGAAAAATTGGTTCAAAATTTCTTTATGTCTTTACTGATAATTTTTCAGCAGCTTAATGCACGAAAATACTAGGCATGATTACATAATGTATTTTAAAAAAAATTGTAATCATATATATTATATACATATGTGATCCCAAAACATTACTTTCTATAAGAGGAGTTGCTTTCTCCTGTGAGGATTGAGATTAGAATCTGCCCAATTGGGATTTAGAAATGTCTTTTCTGCAGACATTTTGCAGTTAAAGGAAGAAAGAAATCTATTTAATTATATTTTTAAATAAATTAAGGTGGGTCAAAAACAGATTTCAAGTTCTGACCAAGACAGACTGAGAAACCAACTAAAGCAAAACTGAGTAAAACAGTAGAAATGTTAAAAAAGAAAATGAAAGTTAAGAATATCATTTTTATGCGCAAAATAAATAAATTAATAAAAATATCATATAGAGGTTTTTTAATTACCGAAAGTGGTTGAGAGACAATGGTCTGTATACGAGGCATTACTTCATTCATTAAATGAGTAGGCCATAAAACTTCAGAAACCAACCCATGTCGTAATGCTTGCTCAGCAGTTAAACGGCGTCCATGTAGCAACATTTCCGTGGCCTGTTAAAAAATAAATCTACTAAATGATCACAGATCTTTTTGGATGCACAACATACTTAGTATAATATAATCTAGTAATAAATAGTTAAATGTTAAAATTCAATATAATAAGCAGTAAAATTTAATGAGGGTAGTGAAAACATACCACTCCTGCTCCTACAAGTTGAGGAAGTGTAAGGGTAATGCCACCTTCTGGCAAATAACCTAACCGTGTAGCAGGGATACTAAAAGTTGCTTTATCACTTGCCAAAATTACATCACAAAATGTTAGCAGAGAAACTCCAAAACCAATAGTAGTTCCATTTACAGCTGCTATTACTGGTTTAGTAAAATGTCCCAGAGTAATAACAAGATCCCTGAAAAAGATTTTATTAATATATAAAATAATTTAAATATGCAAACATGTAATTGAAACTTAACTGAGTAAAAAACTAATTTTAGCACAGAAATCCACTTAAATAACAAAAAACTTAAATAATTAGAAATTTAACAGAAATGTTCAGAATCAGTGTTCATTAAATCAAGAATTACGGAACTGTAGGTTTTGAGTAAGCTAATATTTTCATTTCAGAGTAACTTTAGCATGAGCAAAACCTTCTTAACCCTTTGAGGGGCGGTATATAAAATAATTTAAATTGTGGTAAAATTTTGCATGAACTATGGACCCTAAAGACACAAAATTGAGATTTAAAAAAAATCTAGAGCGAAATCCTAAATTTTGAGAGCCGGTATATATTTTATACCGGCGCCCCTCTAAGACATTTTTTTTTTTCCAGGTAGCTGCCAATTGTTAATTTTTGATTTTCAAATTAATTTTACGTACTTTTGATGTGCATCTGTAGAGATGGGTGCTTGAATATAGTTATGCAAGTCTGAAGACAAAAACTTTTTAAAATTTTAAAAATAAAATTTATGTTTTTATGCACTTTGATTATGCAACCCGGCTGAACATACTTATGCAAAATATGGGTAAAAAGCTTTTGAACTTGATTTAAATTCAATATTATAATTTTATAAAAAAAAAATTAGTAAATATGACACTGCATGCGTAAATCATATCATGCTGTAACTGAACTAGTATAATATTACAAGGAGATATAACAGCCAAAAAATTTTAAAAATTAAAAAATGAAACAGTAGGATTCAGATGAGAAAGTATGTTGCATTTTTGAAGTCGTATTTTATGCTTTAGATGATATGTAAAAAAAACCATGGTTCAGGCTATAATACGAAGAATCGCCACACTCCACACGCACACACTTTAGATTATCGAGGACCATAAGGGACCCTTTTTTATTTTTTGTAAATATAAGTTGTAATATATTCTTTTGTTCAGGAAGAAACGCTGTTAAACAATTTTATTATTTTATACACCTGAAAGCTCTTATTTCGATTTTCAACCCCTTTGGCCTCTTAGGGACTCCTTTTCAACTTTTGGATAAATTCTAGTTTGCATCTAAACGGGCCTTTGAAATATTTTCCTTCATTCCACAAACTGTGAAATTTATTTCAAAAACAACCTAACCCTAAACTTCTCTTGCATTCCTAGTCTTTCATCTGAAATTAACAAAGACGATAAGAATAAAAAAGCATGCTTTCAATCTGCAATTTTTGTGATTACACTAAGCGATGGACCTTCAGTGCACTTCCATTTCCCGTATTTTTAAGTGAGTTTTCTCTTTGTGTGATCTTATCACACCACACAAAGGGAAGAAAGCTTGACTCCCGAATGACAAATCAGTTGTCAATCACCTCCTTTCATTTTCTTTGGATTCTAGGATTTGGGAAACAGGAAGCAAAGGGTGTCTTTTGGGGACTAACACGCCACATTTAACGCATACAATTGTGTAAAATTTTGACCCCAGATGGCAATTTCGAAATCGATGAGTCTTTCTCTTGGGAAAGGTTGAAGTGCTGAAGTTAAAATTTTAGCTAAATAAAGATGAATTGAACTCGCCCAGAGTAAAAAAAGAATAAAAAGAAACAAATATATTTGTACTCAGTCCTAGTGCAGGGTAAGTAAGCTCCCCATCCCTTCATGAACATAATACTGAATCCTAAACAACTTGTAAATTAATCGTAAACAAATTGTTACATCATAAACTATTATAATGTTAAGAAATGCTGTCATCTCTCACAGTAGAGAAGGAGAAGACTGGTTCTGCCATCTATTGGCAAAGTACCCTCAGTAGGGGCGCCGGTATATATTACATACCGGTATTAAAAACGTATGCATAATCTTCTTTTAATTATCAGTTTTGATTAAAATGCAGTAAATATAAAAGATTCAGCATGTGTACGTCGTATATTTACAGATTTTGAATTTTTCTTTCCCTCGAATAGAATTTATCAATCTTTAAGCATGATACCTTGGAACAACGCATATTAATTTCATAACTGCAAAATATTGAGTATTCATAGGGTGGTGCTGCCATTTAGAATCGAAAGGAAACACTACAAACTTACAATTATAGCTTTTCATGTAGAGAAATTATAATTTTTTCTGAGGTTAAAAAATTGACAAATACCCTTCAAAGGGTTAAATACATCACAACTGAAATATCTTACTTAATGGTTGTAGCCATTTCATCTGCAGCTTGTTTCTTGTTAGCCCCTATTAACTGTGAAAGATCAATTCCACTACAGAAGTATGAGCCACTGCTGTTCAGAAGCACAGCTTTACAGTTAGAATCTCGTTTTGCCAATAGGAAAGCATCTTTTAATTCTTTCATTGCCTGAAATTACAACTTGATTTCAGATTAAAAAAGGTAACATTACAAAAAATTACCTATAATCATGAAGAATAGTCACTAAGGGTATTTTTTATACAAAATTTTAAAATGTGTTTTCTTATTTCACAAAATCACTCTTAGCTTTGCATTGCATCAATCAAATATATGAAACTTGACTAATTTTACTCACGCTTAAGCTATTAAGTGGTGCACAATAAGATTACAACACGATGCCTAATATTCAGATGCATTCTTGATGCAATTTTTTAGTTTGTCATACTTGATAAAGCTGAAAACTTTTTCAGCTTTTCAATACATCATTTTAGGCATCATTCATAGAATACAACAAAGTAATGCAGGCACAGGTTTCATCTATTAATAGAATTGGCAAAAAAATGAGGTAATGAATGAAAAGTTTGCAGAACAGATATTAAAATGGAGACTTTTTATATAAATACCCAAATTATTAAAAGTTGCATTTATCTTCTCAAAATAATTAAAAATTACAATAATTACTACATAAAATTTTAATACATTCCCTAACTGAAATGTTTGATTTTTTTAAAAATTAAATTATTTATTCAACAGAAATATTGACAAGTAAAAAGACTACATTTATGTGCTAAAACAGAAAATTTAAAACTGTAGAAATTTTAATCAAAACTACAGTTAAAAACCTCACTTAATGTGAGAGTTACGTTCCATCAAAGTAGAGCGTTACGTGAAATAGCATTAAGCAAGGTGCATCTCATCATGTAAATATTAGCATTATAGAGACATTAGGTATTTTATAGAAGCAGGCAAGATGAAAAGTATGCAATGCCTTTGCCGAGAATCGAACCACGGACCTCTGGAATACGTGCCGAGCGTGCAGACCACCACACCATGAAAGCATGCCAAGAAGGAGGGAGAAATACATTATAACATTAGAGAAAAAAGGGGGATAGAATTAAAAAATTGTTCAAGTATTTTGTTACTTAACCCATTAGCCGCTCGTGTTGCATTGACGCAACAGTCAAAATAAATGCGTATACAAATATAACTACCTAAGATATTTTATACCAGCAGATGATGTTGTGTAGGGAATATTATGAAGATTATTTCTATAAAAAAACATTTGCCTTCAACAATCATTTTGTTTATAGTAATTAATCTCATACTTTAAGCAAAACTTTCGACTGGGTAATTTTGCTGAAATATTTAGAAAGAATCGCTGTCTTTATGAGTGATCTATTTGTAGTCAAGGTCGCCATTTATCAGAACATTACAGTCAGATGTTTATATTTGTGTTGGGAAGGAAGGGAAAGCAGGTGTTGCGTTGCGTCAACGCAACGCCAGCAGGAAAGGGGTAGTCAATCTCCTTTTTCACTCATTCCATTTGATGTTCTGGTTGTTTAAAAATGCCTAGAACAAAGTATCTTACATTAGAAGAAGCCCTTCAAAGATTTTTTGATGAAGAAACAGATGATGATAATGTTAATAATGACCAGAATGAAACTGATATTGTTGTTGTTCCCCCAGAAATTGCAGAGGCCTCTACAAAGAAGAAAGGAATGGCAATGCTTTAAATAATGATATTTTACCATATGATACTCCTGGGGAAGTTGAAATTCACGTAAGAAGTAAGTTTCAGCCTTCTAAAAGCAGTTATAGCCATACTAAAAAGTTTAAAAAGCAGAAGACTGAAATCTTGAAGTGAATAAAAAAGGAACTGTTAGTTATGTCTCAGGAAAAACATGAAGAAAGAGATAGAAGAGAAATTATAAAAGACAAAACACAAGGTAAAACTAGTGCACAGATTTTCGATTTTCTTTTGGTTTTTTTTTTTGGTTTAGTTTAGACATTTACTCTCTTCTCGTTGAACAAACAAATATATACGCTCAGCAAAAAAAAAAAAAAAAAAAAAAAAAAAAGAGAGAGAGAGAGAGAGAGAACCCAGAATTTATTGCATCTGAAGCCTATATGAGAAGATTTATTGGAATATTATTGCTTACAGGATATCATTCTTTACCTCAAGAAAAAATATATTGGTCTTTTGATAAGGACATTTCTGTTCCTGTTGTACGAGAATTGATATCACGTTTGCAGTACAGGAATATGAAGAAGAATTTGCATTTGACAATAGTCAAATTGACAATACTGATAAATTATATGAGGTGAGACCGTATCTAAATAAATATCACCACTTTTTACTACTGGAAATATAAAGTCTCTTTTAGATTTCAGATGTGAGAATGCATTATTCCTTTTGCAAACTCCTATGTAGTATTAGCCAGAAATAGATCAGCAACAGGAAGACCTAGTAAATTCAGCATTCAAAAACCATTGCATGGAGATGGTAGATATTTTATTGCAAAGTCTGTTGATAACAAATGTGTTGTAAAGAGTACCATAGCCAGACTGTTTATAGATGTAAAGTATGTATGTAGCTTTACATCATGATTGTAATCAAGCTTTTCATGTATGAATCTTTCAAATGAAAAAGTATAAATATTAAAGAAGTATTTATTTCTAATTTCCACATGGATATTTAAACAAAGTGCAAAGAATCTTGAGACTGCTATATTTTTGACAATGTGCTTCTTGGCATATGTTGTTGAGAATATTCTGGAAATTGAGCTTGTAAGAAATCTCAAAAATTATATGCAGATAGGTGAATCAAAGATGATAATCTAAAATATAAAATCACTGAAACTGGTAGTTTACACGATAATGCAATAGCTCTTTTACTTAATAACTGTTATTCAACCTCTATTATTAAATAACAAACAATTTCCTCGTGTTGGGTACAAATGGCAGTACCTACAGGCACTGAATTTTGAGCACATGTAGTCCTCCACCCAAACATGTGCACCTTAAAGCCCGAAATTGAATTTTCAAATTTGTGTTATTTATTCATTCATATGAAGTTCATGACATTTTGATTAACAAACTTTATTTAAAAGCAATGTATTAAGACTCAGTAAAATGTAAGACATTTATGGTTCCAACTTTAACAAAAAACAACGGTAAAATTTTAATAGAATTAAAAGAAATATGTTGCAACTGCCAGAAATAAAATATTTTTATCTTCCATGTGGCACTCTATTACCAATCAAAATGTCACATATTCAATTTTTCTTTAAAATTTTAATCTGTCTGTTATTAACAAACCAAACAATATTAAAGCAATAACCACAGTTTTTCATATCTATTAATTGCTAACTGGACTTTCTTTTAATAACAACTATTTTAGGCAGCTGGCCACATAAGCAGATAGTACTTGTTATGTATGACGGGTCATTTGATCTTCAATATGCTTTCTTATTGTAAGTCACTATTCATTTTATTTGAAGCTATTAATATAACAGAAAGGAAGATTTATCAGGAAAAAAAATATATAAATTTCATTAATAATAAAGCAAACAGCAAATGCACTTTGCATTACAAAAAAAAAAAAAAAAAAAAAAAAAAAAAAAAAAAAAAAAAAAAAAAACATTATACACAAATATAAAAGAAATATCAAAGAGCAATTTAATTTCTTTTTTTTTTACCTCAATTGTTAAACTGTTTTGTTTAGAAGGGTTTGGAACCAAGACAAACTGCATATAGTTTGTATGTTTTTTAACCACAATTTCCTTATAACGGAATGCACCTTCACTCTGCCTGACACTAGATCTTAATGCTTCTTCTTCTGGTCGTTTCCTTTTAGTTACTTTATTATTATTTTGGGGATTGATACATGATTCATGGAGTTCTCGAAACATGGCATTGATGGATTCTTGATCTTTCTTCTCTACAGCTGAAATACATCAAAGTTTCATATAAAAGAGTAATTCATATATGTTATACAAATATAAAACATTCATTATTACATTAGCCATTCTACTTAGCCAAAAATGCAAATTTGTGTTACATAATTTTAAAATCAATATATGAATGACACTAGTGTCATAAATTAAAAATGCTATTGAATAATGAGAATCTTAATCTGCACAAATAAGGGAAATTTATAAGTTGTTATCACTTTACACAGCCTTTAATCCAAAAAAATTAGAATTGTGCAGAAAATCAATGGATTCACAAACATCTTTTAAAAGCTGACCTTTGAGACTGTAAATGAATAAGAAAAAGAAAAAAGGGGCATGCCAGCACGTTTGTAATATTTAGAAACAAAATAAATAGCTGCCAACATTGAAATATGAAAAACTAGGAGGTTCTCACGCCAAAACTCAGGAGGATTGTGCTGTACAGCAGTGCCATTTCAAAAGAACTCCAAACTGACTTCATTTTGCGCTGTAATGCATGAATCAAATTAATCAACTACTTATCGCAGTGATTATCAACCGGTGGTATGCAAAGACACATGGTATTTTTAACTATTAAAATTCAAAAATCTCATGGAAAAAAAAAAAAAAAAAGTTGATAGAAATTTCCTGCGATTGAACTCTTAACTGAAGATTTAAAAAATAACACTTGTTAACTTTTTGCTGAACCGGAAAACAGAATTTAAAAGCATTTCAAATAAAGCTATTAAATTTTTATCACCTTTTTGCAGAACTTATTTGTGTGGACAAGGATTTTCTTCCATGTTATATTTGAAAAACTAGTACAGAAGAAAATTAAAAGTGGATCCTAATTTAAGGTTAAAACGAAGTGAAGTAAGACCAGACATAAAGAAATTGATCTCCCTTAAATAGGCCCAAATTTCACACTAAATTTTAGAATTAAAACATTATAACTTAAATTTTGATAATTAAAATGGTAAACAATTTTCAATCTAATATTTTTATGTGTGCATATTTAATACGAATAGTTAATAGATTATGCAAATGGCAAAATATTTTAATATTTTTATTGAGAAATTGAAAAATAATCACTGTAAAATGTAATAGTGGTACTAAGGTTTCCCCCCAGACTTTTAAATTAAAATAAATGATTTTAGGCCTTTAGCTAAAATCATTTTATAATTTTCTTACTCTGAGAAAATTCTAAGTAGAGAAGGAAAGTTTTAATTTATCAAGGTACTTTTAAAGGAGTAGGGGGTATGAAATCTGCTCAAGTTTCATTTTCAATAAATTTAATTTATTGCTAAAAAAACTCTTTTTCACCAGAAAATGTTATAAAAAACCATAAGAGCTGCCAGCTATGACAATATAACTACTCAGTAACATTTTCAGTGCAATACTTAATATTAAAACATATTCCAATTATTTCAAATTAAAATATTTTGGACACAATTTAAAATATTGCATACTTCAAAATAATCCTCTGCTTTAAAGAAGAGCACAGAATGAGTATACACACTGGTGTGAAAAAATTTAAGGATGAGACAGTTTTTTAAATCTAACATTGTGGAGAGCTGTTCCATATCATACCATCAGATCCCCAAGACATGAAAATTTGGGCCAATTGAGGAAAACCATACAAACGAGGAATCAAAATGATAAAAGGGCTCTTTATTGAAGCTCCAAGGGTGACTACATAGAAGACTATGTGAATGTCCCTGCTGTGACATGGATGCCTTGGGGAAAAATTCTACTCCTTAGAAAGGGATATGATCACCTCGAAGCAGAGATTAAACATCTGTCCATGCTGAGAAGAAAGTTGTCAAGGAGCTTAGGCCAATTCTTCTCGTAATGGCAATTTCATCTGCAGAAGCATTGTTGGCAGCTGGTCATGTGCTGCTAACCATCTCCCAAGAAGGTCCCACATGCATTTAGGTCTAGGGCCTTGAAAGGTGAATCCATGCACCCTCAACTAATGTGCCATATTACTTGGGGATGGAGTAAAATAATGAAATCTTGCAATTTCCTACTGTACTAGTCTCAAGTCTATCTTCTGATTAGTCTTTCAGTGCATTCTGTTGCCTTGTTCTGCTTTTAAGCTGATTTCTCCACCTCATCCTCAATTATTGCACACTAGAATATTTCAAGTATTGGGGTTCTCGACTGAAGAGGAGATTCTCTTTAAAGATTAATTTTACATATTCAAGGGGAGAGAATTATGTTACTTTAATGGTAATATCTCCACCTTATCCTCTGACAACCATAACAAGAAATTCTGATTATGGATTATATGGTGTTCTGATTATGGACTTCCTATGTATGAGTTGAGGTATCAATTTAATATATAATGAAGTACTATTAGTAACACAACAAAAGGAACCTGTACCTGTTTACTCTTGGAATCGATTGAGATCTTGTACTTAAATCTACGCCAAACTCAAGGTTGTTGTGTTACTAATTTTATTTGGCATGTTTCTCTTCCATTCCCATGAAGTACTATTTTGATTCTGAATATCACAGAAAATATTATTTGTGGATCAGAATCATAATTGAAAATTATTTAGGGTAAACCTTAAATCATGTTTTAGAGTTTAAGAATTGTAATATGTCGGCAGTTAAGTACTGTGATAAATATAAGCAACATTTAGTGCATAATAAATGGAAATAATTTATATTTTTTCTGAAAGTAGAAAATATTGCTTAGATATCATTTTTATATCATTCGAATTTTGAGGTTTCATTAAAGTATATGTAAATTGTGTATTGCACTTGTTTGTTTTGTAAATAGTTATTCAAATGCTGTATGTATTTTGTTAAAATAAATATCTCATGTATAATATTATCAAGTAGATACATTATACTAGCTCAGACTGAATATTTATGTTCTTTGGACTGTATTATGAATGGTAACTTTTATTTATAACTAAAATAAAAATTACAAATTAAATATTTAACTCTGAATATTAATTTCTTGAAAGACAAGTTTTTCGAAATGTGGCCAGTTATGCATTAGTTTGTAAAACATTACTTAGTATTGAGTTGATTATTTAGTGTGCATATGTAATGTTGCCCCTAAATTTATAATTAGTATCTGCAACTTAATATGGTCAAAGTATACTGTGATCTCTCTATATAATAAAAGAGTCTGTGTGTGTCTTTTGTTCATGCTGCACGTAAGCTAATAGACCCAGGGCTAAGAAATTTGGTATATAAGTGCATCTAGATAAGAGCCAATGCACCTCACAGCGATTTTTTTCAAAATTCGAATCACATTTTCTTTTTTATCTTTTTGATTTTATCGCATCATTTTGAATAGTTTCAATCTTTTAGAAATGTGGTTTGGGCAACAGTTTTTCATTTAAATGTATACTGGACTGCTGACTGTTGAATCAGCACTGTTGCCATTTGGAAAAATGAGGGCGATAATTCTGTGCAGGTTTTAAACTCAATGTTTCCCTTGGATACTGGATGTTTGTTGAGAGACGGCAACGAGAAGTTGGTTAATTTATTTATCAGGATAATTTATATTTGTATTAAGAAATATTGCTTATTTCATTTTAAATGTAATACATTGTTATATGTATTACATTTTTTTTATTTGTGTTTTTTTTTAATTGTTTTGCAGAATAAAAGCCTGCACAGTTTTTAAATTTAACATTTGGTGTTCCCTTCAATCATTTTTCTGGTATATTTAAAAGCCAGACGAAGGCTGGCCATATACCTGGTAGTATTACATAAGCACAAACAAAGTCCTTCCTGACTAAGGATAAAACACAAGACCTTAAGATTAAAAATGAGAAGTTAGATGAAATCTTAGGCCCAGATTTAAAATTTTTTTAAACTTAAAGAAATCGTTACAAAAGTCTCATTATGAGGAAAAGTTTGTGAAAATGCTTTTGACAATTCAAATAAAGGAAAAAATAGATGAAGAAAGATTAATTATCAAACAATCTAATCTCTAAAGTGAAAGAATTTTCAAACCTAGGAAAAAATATTTAATATGGAAGTTCAAACACAAGGCTCCTGAACAGAATCTACTTCTTCACTGGACAAAGACTTGGCGAAGTAAAACTCAATGACTTGATTACTGGTCTCAATCCCAAAAATGATACCAGCCTTTATTTAAAATTATTTGAAAGGCCATTAAAATATTTTAAAGTTTCTAAACCAAATTGGGTAGCATGTTTAACCCATAGTACTCTCTACTGTAAAACCTCCCTCTCTCGCAAAACTAATTACAAAAGAATCAGAAAAGGAATCTTAAAATTAACGACACATTAAGGATATGATGCTGGAAAAGTTTCAATTTAGTGCTGACAAATGCAGACAATTATTTTGTCAACATCCAGGAAAACCTAATAGTATAGGACCCCAGTCAGACTTTTATATTGAGATCAGAAGCTTCTTTTAAGGATGGCTTTCAGAATTAAAAGTGAATATTTTTGATCAGTTGAATAACCTTGTTATTGCTGATCGAATCAAAATGGAACCCCAACAGAATACAAAGATCACTTTGTTAATGAGTCAATTGATTACAATTCATCCAGCTAACTAAAAAATAAATTTGATGTAAATGAAAGGTGCAAGAAATAATAGAAAGAAGAATATTGACCTTTCCATTAAAAAGGAAGTTTTTGGTGGAATAGAAGAAATTTCCAGGACTGGTTTCATGAGAAAGGATTACAAATCATGTTGAAATCATAACTAGTTTCTAGATTTTTTATTTTTTATAAAAAATTTATTTTTTAAAAGATTTAATTTTTTTAAAAAAAGTTAAATTTAATACTTGACTTTAATTGCTTGCTTCTCAAAAGACTTCATTAGTATTTTCCTTTTAGAACTTTAATTCTTAAATGCTAATTTCTAAGGGTACCACTTTATAGGTAATTCTTTTTACTTTTGGTTTTGACTTTTACCCTTGCCTGCATGAATGACAACGAAACACGAATTGAATGATTGGAAAGTTAGGTTTGGAGGCAACTTCCCCTTGATAAGTCTGTCTCCTGCCTACTCA